CTATAAAATGTGTAAATAAAAAACGGGAAAATAATCCATTTAGCTAAAAACAATGGAGTTAATTAAAGGTGTACATTCTTTTAAAATAAATGGAAAATTTGAGAAAAAAATATTTTAAGCTTAATAATTGATACAAATTCTTTATTAGGTGATTTATTTGGTGAAAGTTCTTCACTTACTTATCAAGACCATTTAAATCCCTATTGATTCTACTATAATCCAGGGCACATGTTTTGCGTCTTTTTAATACCTTGATATTTGTTTACCATTCGCTTTGGTTTAAACATATTTATTGCATATATTTTAATCATACATTATACATACATTCAGTTTCATAACCATACTAACATAATACACGCAATGGATTTTGACGGAAGCACTAGGTGCTTATTAAAGTCAATCTCCATTATAATTGATAAATTACAATAAAACTAATACATGTGATCAAGTAAAGAGCATATAAAAATGTGTACCACAACCGCTTCTATTGATTGTATACAAAATATTTTTGAAAAAAAAAAAACACAAAACTAGGTTATGTGGTAAGGCTCTTGCATTATTTGTAATTGATAGATATTTTAATATAATATATTAATAGAAAAAAATAAAGAAAGAGAAAAAGAAGAAGGAATATTAAGATGAAAACCAACGTTTAGAGATGAAGAGACAAATGATTTTTTAGCACACAGACAGTATAAAGACTATGATTATTTTTTTAAGTGTTTACCAGTGTAATTGTTAAGTCGTAGACAGTACTTTGCAACATTTACTCGTCATGCAAACCTCCCACTATCCATTATGTATTTTTTGACGGCCAGAAATAACTCCGTATTGTCTGATTGAGAAAGAGAAACATCCCAAAACAGAAGAGTATGAAGAGAGACATTTTGAGTGATTTGACGCACTTTTGTAAGAAGGCATGTACGGTGGCAACTATAAAAGTGATATTCGAGAAGATAGTGATAGTTGTTTTCAGGTTGTCCACAATGGCAAAGGGGAGATTGGACTATATTACGAATGAAAAGGTGATGATTTAGTTTGCTACAATTCATGCGAAGCCTAGCATGTAAGACCTGTGCCATTCGTGATCCGCTGTAAAAATAAGCGGGCGTACTATCACGGACTGGCATAACTATACTTTTAAAAACTTTTAAAGTGGGTGAATTTCTTACATCTGTTGATAGGTTATTCCAATCGCGAACTGTCACGGGTAAGAAAGAATTGTAATATTGGTTAGTTCGGGAATGTACAGGTCTCAACTGATCTGGGTTTCGAAGGTTGTACGAAGACGTTGATCCAATATTTGGGGGAACGAGATTTGTTAGATATTCTGGTGCAAGACCATTTATCATCTTATAGAACATTATAAGCCTGTGAACGCGTCGTCTCTCTTCTAGGGATGACCAATTCACTTCCTGTTGAAGTTTATCGAGAGAGACCAGTTTGGTTGCTCCCGATACAATACGAGCACATTCGTTTTGGATCTTGTCAAGCATATCCTTTTCAGCCATAGAGCAATTATTCCATATAACATCAGCATATTCTAGAATTGGTCGGATGAAAGAGGTGTATATTACTTCAAGAGATTTCCTATCAAGAGTAAATTTCAGTCTACGCATAATGTGAACCCGTTTCCATGCTTTATTTACTATATAGTTAATGTGTTCATGCCAAGAGCAGTCATTTGAAAGAATGATACCCAGATGTTTGTGGTGTTCTACTTCCGGTATAATTTGGCCATGCATGTTTAGAGATGGGTGGTTTTGCTGATGCATTTTTCTACTTAGCAATAGGCATTCGGACTTTGCAGGATTAAAGTTAACTAACCACGTATCGGCCCATTCTGTTATTTTTAGGATATCAGATTGGAGGAGTTCTGCAGCAGCATTTGGGTTTTCAACAACAATATATAAACTGGTATCGTCAGCAAAAAGACGGATATGACTTCCAATGTCAACGACAATATCATTTATAAAAATAAGAAACAATAGAGGTCCTAAAATTGAGCCCTGAGGAACTCCAGCATTTACTGCATCCCATGTAGATTGAGTACCAGGTAGCACAACGCGTTGTCGTCTTCCGGAGAGATAATTAGAAAACCAGTCTTTATTAAATTACCATTTGTATCTTTTTAAAAAGCACCAATTTATATAAAAGAAAGTTTGAGGATTTCATTACTATGTACAAATACTTAATAATTCTGACTTCGCAGAATTGATAAAGGAAATCGTCCAAATGCTAAAAGAACTGAACAAAGTGCATATGGTTTGTCGGCTTTCTCAATGATGAGTTTAAACAGAGTTTGGCTGACACGTAGTTAGGTACTGAACTTAAAAATCGGAGATGCATTATGTTATTTTATGTAGAATGTTTCATTCCGAGTTTAGCTGTAAACACATGGTAAATAGTAGCCTGTGTTAATCAGTATCGTCCATAAACAGGTATAAATTGATCCTTTTACATTTTAAATTTGGCCGTTTGACGACCTTCAAAATTTGCACATTTTACTGTTTTCATGGGGAAGTCGTCATATATTGCATTTGATTTGTATTATCTATTATCCCTGTATAGTTCGGGAGGTCAATAACTCAGTAAGTCAGCTTCTTCTTTTAGTATGCATAGTCACGCGAATACTGTGTACAAATATAAAGGTTGTTCAAAAAGTAATAGGACTTCACATTTCTTAATTTACGTACACATTTTTACAGAGTATGTCCTATATATACAGTGAAAAAAATCAATGCATTATGTTTACAAAAAACAAATATGTAAGAATTTCAAATGACAAGGAGTACCCGACCCGACGACGCACGCTACCAACTTTCAACTTTTATTAAGAACTAAGCCCGGTTGGGTATGAGTTTAACATAAACAACAAACATAATGTAACAACATGACATATATATGTATACGTAAGATAAATACAAAGCGTCAGTCTTTCTGAAAATAATATTCTAGGTGTCCGAATCATGTAATTATTGCCAGGCCATATATGCGGAGATGAATCGAGAAAAAGAAAACGATCATACTCTCGTTCCACTCTCAGAAAAAAGCCCGGTAGCTCGTATTCATTGACTATTTAGAAATGATGAAAACATCTTCGGGTATAAGTAAGTTGTCGATTTCGCAATTTTCATACTTAAATGTTGAAAAGTGCGTAATTTGCGACAGTTCTTATCAACTGCTATTTATTTATACATCAGTGAATACAGTCGTGTCTATGTTAGGAATATCTTTAAAAGTAAAATCCATATTTATTTCATCTAAAATATACAGTTTTTGTTAATTTAATTAAAGAAATTTAATTATACGTACATTTTAATTTAAGTCCTGTTTACACATATAACGTAGGGCAATTTAGCGAACTAATAGTACACTTTTGTAAGAGTACATTTCCATTAATAATGTCCCAATTTTAATATAAAGGAATATTAATGAAATGTGAGATGCATATCAAAATAATCATACATATGAAAATCCGGGGAATGTAAAACTATAAGACTTAAAATTACTGTCTGATTTTAACTGTCTACTTTTAATATCACTTCTTTGAAACTCCAACATAGAAACTAAACATGTAATTATAATGGATGTGGAACATACACAATGCAACAAAACGTGTATGTATTCATGACAATAATTGATCAAAACCATGTTTAACATTTAGCAACAATGTGAACTTCTTCTCTTGTTTTGTCACTAAACACCCGTTTTCCCCCTAATCTTGTTCGATGTCCCACTGGGTACTGTACCAGTGGTCCTCCTTCGTGAGTTTGCTTTTAGTGAAAGTTGCTCTTCCTTGTCAATCTTTATTAATATATTCACAAGTTCTCATATTTGTGTTGCATTTTTCATTGATACAATAATATATATATGTGTGTGTGTGTGTACGTGCGTGCGTGCGCGTGTGTGTGTGTTATTTGATTCCACAACAGTTAACATTGCATTAGAAATAGGAAAAAGAATTTCCATACGCCGATTATTTCAATGATACCGATATCGGGAATATATTCTTATTGTATCAACTGTTTCTTAAACAATTGCGTCATTGTATTTTCCAACTGAGGCGTAGTTTTAATATGAACTTTGAAAACAAAGATCAACAAGGAAGGGTGGCATTTATGGAACACATTTCCCAACAAAAACCCAAAAACACAGGACACCGAAAAGGAGCAGGATAACTAACAAAAAATGGAAGGAGAACACAAGGGCAAATCACGGACGGCGCGCACTTATAAACAACTCAGCAAAGGAAATTTTAGAAACCGGCAAACACACCAAAGAAGACAATAAATAAAAAGACCAACAAAATGAGGGGAAGCGACCAGAGGACCGAAGAAGATTTTTTTTATATAAACTAGCGGAAAAGGGAAACTTGTCGTAGACGACAAAACAAGATTGGTCACAAAAATGTCATCACCATGTAGCAATAAGCAAGACATACATCTCTAGGATCATAAAGGGGCGCCGTCTTGGAACAGCCAACAGCATAAGCCCCTCCTAGGGAGTTTAAACCGGTTAATGATGTACCAAACTTCACTCTTAGCCCAAACATGTTATAATGGACATAATTCATCACACAATTCACAATTTTATCTCCCAAATGTTGTTCAAAAGATTTTATTGAAAGCTACTTTACCTTCTATAACAACTGCAATTGCATCACCCACCTCCAAGGTCGTTTGCTTTTAAAATGTGTCACGGTTGATAAGTAGTTTATACATGTTCATGAGTACATTATATATATCAAAATATTTTAAGAATATAAACACGTGGAATGGCGAGTAAAAGTCAGTTAAATTTTCGTTTTTGAAATTATTTAAAGTCGCATACTTGTGTTAAAAATTGAATGATATTCATGCGTTTCAATGAATATGTAAATCTAGAATTACTTTTTTGTTAAAGGTATCGAATGAAAACGGAATGTGTTAATGGCTTTTAAAATGATGTCCTTGTTTAGAAATTCACTGCCAAACGATTATAACTTGTTTCTATTTCAGGGCTGATATCTGGTCGTGAAACAGAAATGGATAATATTGGAGCGGAAACGGAAATGGGTTCCGAAAAGACACATGAACCGGAAGTAGGGTATAGCAACGCAGTAAATGAACAGACGTCATCACCTGCAGATTTAAAACTATCAATGGCGGCACCTTACAAGATGACAAAGTTTCAAATTCACAAAAATCTCGTTGTTGTCAGTGTTGCATTCTTATTTTTATTTACCGCATTTCAATCTTTATCTAATTTGCAAAGTAGCTTGAATAGGGAAGATGGAATTGGCACAGTAGGTATGTCGGTGATTTACGCGGCACTTGTCATTTCATGTATGTTTCTACCACCATTTATCATTGACGCAGTAGGATGTAAATGGACAGTCGCCTTCTCCATGTTATGTTATATTCTTTATATGGCTGCAAACTTCTACGCCACCTGGTGGACAATTATCCCTAGTGCTATTATTCTCGGTATCGGTGCAGCTCCTTTATGGTCGGCGAAATGCACTTATTTGACCCAGAGTGGTACCTGGTATTCCAAAATGACAGGTCGAACAGAAGATGATATTATCAACCGATTTTTTGGAGTGTTCTTCATGATATTCCAGACCAGTAAGTTTCAATACTCTTATTATTGTCCCAAGAATCAGAACAGTTTTGTATGGTATGCTAGTTTAATAAGCTTACATCATTTGAACAATACCTCAGCTATGAGTCATCCATCTGAGTCACCTTATACACCTACCTAAGAATCCTGTTTGATTTATGTATACTTCAATAATGTTAAATTCAATGTTGAACACATTTTTGCTTGTAACTGTCAAATACCTTTGTAACTTTAATATTTCATTTCAAATTGATTTACTTTCTGCCACATTTCAGGTACATGTATTAAACCTTTACCTTGACATGAACATTTTGAAGTATTTTGAATATGTATTTTACTCCTACTTGTTC